AAAAAAAAAAAATGCAAAATAACCGTGAAAATTCCAATAGTGCGAATTTTCAACTGAGCTTCTTTACCAAAAAAAAAAGAGAAAAATTAACAATATTGATGAAAGTAAATTCCTTTCACCATTTTTCAAAACTCATTCACCCGCACTTGTATCCAATTTTTTTTTCTCTCTTTTTAATCCATAAAAAAAGTGGGATAATTTCTGCTCTTGCCATCTTGAAAAAAAAGAAAGCCATTAATTTTTTTCTAAATTGCTACCGTCATAAAAAAAATTATTGCAATATAAAATAAATGTCACATAATAACCTATGTTAAACCAGTAAAAAAATAAATAAAATAGATTCATAGAAAGGAAGAAAAAAAAATACAGGAAGTTGTTTAACTTTCCTGGTATATAGGAGAAAGTTCAATAATAAGAGTTTGTAAGGGCAGGAACAACCCTACTTTGCATCCGTCAATTTACTCGTCTCTATCCATAAATTTTCCACGTGTGCGTGTGTGTGTGTGCATAAACCAAGTTTACCTTTCGACGGATATAGAAATTGAATTCTGCGTATATCTGTATAATGCTCTTTACAAAAAAAAAAAAAAAAGAAAAAAAAACAAACACGTGCGTGCACCGTTTTTTTTAAATGTACATGTAGCTTTTAAGTATATAAGTGTATATGCTCTGAGAGAACATGCTCTATAAGCTCAAACCCCCTCACCAACCCCCTTTTTTGGCGAAAGGAACCTACGTTTGCTTGTCTCATTTCCTTAACCCCCCTTTTAACACGCCATTCACACTTACTAAAACACCAAAAAAATATATAGCGTACGCTAATTATCCTTATATAAAACTATTTAGTAAGCTAGTGGCTGGCCAATAGTGACCCTGCTATTTTCAGTATTTGCCTAAATGTATTTTTTTTTTTTTCATTGTCAACAAAATGATTCGAGTCTTCTGTGTCCTTATTCCCGGGGAAAATTCCTTAAAGTTGCTTCTTTTCAATAATTTTTCCCACTGATCATTAGGATGATGAATTTTATCTTTTACTACTGTTTTTAATTTCACGTTTGTGAATTTTTTTTTTGAACTGTTCATTTTGGTACTATTCGTTTATATACCATTTATTAATTTTTATTCTAAACTGTTCATTTTGGTAATTTTTTCATTTTGTATTATCTGTTTATTTTGATACTATCCGTTTAGTAATTTTTGTTCTAAACTCTTAATTTTGGTGCTATTTGTTTATTTTGTATTCTGTTTTTATCCAGTTAATTTTCTATAATGTCCATTCACTTTGGTAATCTGTTAATATTTATAGTTATCGATTTGTATTTGTGTTCATTTGTAACATTTTTGATGAAATCAGTATTTATTTTTAGTAGTTGCAAAATTACACCTTTTAAAATTTTGTATTTGTGTTTCGAATTTTAATAATTGTATAAATAAATTTGGTACAAAATGTTTTGGATTTGTTTCTTAGGTTTAAAAATTAACATTTATATAGAAAATTTGTCATTGGTATTGTTGCCACTGCTTCAAAAATGTGTGCAACAACCTAAATAGTTAAAGAATATTTAATCTCCATTACGATTTGATACTTCCAATATTACCAATTTTGGATAAACTTTCGAAAAACCACCAATACAGATGTGGTACGAAATCAAAAATACCGTTATTTCTGTTACAGATTTGATCTAAATTTTAAATAAATCCTTATACTTTAAATCTGTACAAATATTTGTAAAGTAGATGATTATTTCGTGTACAAATACTGATTCTAACATATTTTTTGGCACACAATTTTTGTATTGCTGGTAACAAAAACTGTATATAAAAAAAACATCCTTACGATCAGTGACAATTCTTGAATCTGCAAACATATTTACAATCTGTTAAATGTAAATACATAAATAAAGAAGCATCTCTAAAGAACTATTTCCCATTTTGGATACCAATTTTTTTTTTTTTTTTTTTTTAATTAAAATCTTTTGTATTAATAAAATTTCTACTTTTTCTCTAAAAAGTAGTTTTAAAAAAAATAATGAATGATATTTATAATCATTATGTTTTGCTTTCGAGTCTCTGATGAAAATTTCCGATGTAGCTCGGTCTTGGCCATCAGCTACTTGATTTCTTTTTACTATATATATATATATATATTTTCCTAATTCCTATTCACTCTCTTTTCGTCCACACTTACCATTATCCAAAAATAAAAAAGTACTCTTATATATAGATTTGCCTGTACATCGTGACAGTTTCGGCACGTGCTATGACCGCTAAAAAAAAAACACTCGCTAGCATTATTAGTCTATTGGCAGAAACGTGCTACCGTGGTTTTTTTAAAAAATGATTTACCATGTTTATATTAAATTATAATAGAAACATGATAAATCAATTCATGATTAATACCACGAAACACAAAAAAAAAATAAATACTCTCTTCTTTGTCTGCTTATTAATGAAATTCACTTTGCAATTTTCAATATTTTGAGGAAACGAAATCTGAAGTGTAACTAATATAAGAATTATTTATTTTCATTTTCAATTGTACAAAGGAATCATTTTTTTTTTTCGAGAAAGAAGCAAACGAATTTTATTTTGGTAAAATTATGTATGAATTGAATCATAGTAAAAAGAATTTACAAATTTGATAATTATTTCGTAGATTTGCATTTTTAGCAAAAATTTTATAATTTCGTTTTAAAAATTATATATTCTTTGTATTAAATTATGTAACACCTTAAGAAATGAGAAATAATAAAAATATTGGGGTAAATTTTCGTTTTGTACTACTCAATGTTCGCTTGCTTCTTTAAAATATTTAAAAGCAATTTAATTATATTCTTAAATTAGTTCTACATCAGAATTTTTGTGGAATTAATCAGAAATATCAAGGTTGTCGTACCTTTCGTCAAAGTTTGAAAATTTCCTTCAATTGTTATCAATAAATTATTATTGTCTTTATCAATGACATGTGAAAATTAATTATTAATCATATTCCTTCGTAGTTGCATAAATTAATTAATCAAATTCTCAATAAAGTTGACATTAATTATTCAAATAATTTTAAATATTAAACTTGATTCTCTCTCGTGTCGTTCGTCAGTTTAAAATCAGAAATTTGATTTTTCCAATTTAATTAGAAAAATATTGGAAAGAAACTTTAATTTAATTTATCAGTTTTACAATTTTTGTAAAAAAATTAATATTCAATTTCATGTTGATATTAAATTAAAATTTACAATTATTTATCAAATTATAATGTACAATTAATTGTTATTAAATATTTATTAAATATTTATTAAATTATAAATAAATTGATTCAATATTTAAAAAAAAAATTATTTTTAAAATTGCAATTTTTTGAATAATTAATAACGTAATTTTCAGAATCAGACGAAAACTACCAACCTTGATGACAACTGTTATGAAAAATCTTTTCCTTCGAACTTCCTAATTTATCAGAAACAAAATTATAAAACTATTGTTACTTTTAGAAAAAGCGTCACTTTATTTTGTTTTGTTATAAAAATCAAAATAGTAATTTTTAAACAATTTCCAGTGTTAAAAAAAAGCTTACTTTTTTTTGCCAATGTAACGCCAGTTTTTATTAATTTCGAATCATTATTATTATTATTTGATAAACGTTATTAATAGAAGTGTAGATTTGTTTTTTGAAAAGAAAAATAAAATTAACCTCATATCAAGCGATTTATGTACTAACCAGTACAGAGCCAGTTTTGGCCCAACATACGCTAAAAAAAAGAAAATATTAAATGCAATTAAATTTTAAAAAGAATTTTTTTTCTAATAAAAAAAATTGAAAACAAATTAAAATAATTACTTTTAGAGAATAATATTGGCGGAAACCTGGCTATAACATGGCAATCAATTTTCTCGTATTTTTAACAATATTTTTCACTTGCAAATTGAAAAAAAATAATTTTTTTTACTATTTTTATAAATTTTTATCAATAAATTTTGAATTCAAAACAAATTAAAATAGATAACTAATTATGTCAAAAAAGTAATATTGTCGGAAACCTGGCTATAACATGGCAATCGATTTTCTCGTATTTTTAACAATATTTTTTACTGTCTTTTTATAAATTTTTATCTACAAATTTTGAATACAAGATAAATTAAAATACATAATAATTAATTATATCAAAAAAGTAATAGTGGCACAAACCTGGCTCTATCATGGCAATCGATTTTCTCGTATTTTTAACAATATTTTTTACTGTCTTTTTATAAATTTTTATCTACAAATTTTGAATACAAGATAAATTAAAATACATAATAATTAATTATATCAAAAAAGTAATAGTGGCAAAAACCTGGCTCTATCATGGCAATCGATTTTCTCGTATTTTTAACAATATTTTTTACTGTCTTTTTATAAATTTTTATCTACAAATTTTGAATACAAGATAAATGAAAATATTTAATTAATTATATCAAAAAAGTAACAGTGGCACAAACCTGGCTCTATCATGGCAATTGATTTTCTCGTATTTTTCACTTGAAAATTCAGAAAAAAAATTAATTTTTCCAAATTCCATTTAATTACATTAATTCAACATTAATTGTATCTGAAAATTTTTTAAAAAAATATTGAAATTTAAATAGAAATTTTTGAATAAACATGAAACTGAAGGGAAAACTTTTTGATATCAGTTGTTTTTGGATAAATTGTAGTTAGCTATCCACGGTGCATGTTCGTCCTCGCCTTTAAAGTAGACCACCGATATACCTTATCTTTTTACTACACATTGTCACCTTGATCTACCGTTGTAATAATTTGAATTTAAGGGGAGATCATCCCCCACCCCTAAAACCTATTCACAAACCCCAGAATTTTCATTATATATATATATGTATACTTAGTTCCAATAGCGTGTTTCCAAGTAACCCCCTTTTTTTAGCCCCCCCACCTACCCCCACCCCCCCTTTCACTCCATAGATAGAGTGCCATGCCATGCCATGCGTGTTCGCTCTTGCTGTAGGTATGTCGCGAGTTTCAACGCGGGGCGTGCAAACGCGGTGAGACGGAGTGCCGGTTTGCGCACCCCCTCGAGACGGTGCAGGCGAACGAGGACGGCTCTGTGACGGTCTGCATGGACGCTGTCAAGGGCCGATGCAATCGGGACCCCTGCCGCTATTTCCACCCCCCTCTGCACCTTCAAGCCCACATTAAGGCCACACAATCTCGGGCTAGCATTGCGGTAATGCATTCTCTCTCTCTCTCTCTCTCTCTCTCTCTCTGACTCTTTCACTCTCTCTCTCTCTCTCTATCTTTTTCTCTTTATCTCTCTTTGTTTATTTTGTGTCTATATGTCTTTTTATCTTTGTCTTTACTTGTTTACTTTCACCTTTTTTGTTTATCTTTACTTGTTTTTTTTTACTAATCAGGACGGTCACATTTTTTTTGTTAGTTAAATTTTCGTCATGGTTTATCTTAATTTTTGTATTTATCCTTAATATTTTTTTTTTTATTATTTGTTAATTGTTGTTATTATGATTGATAATATTTTTTGTTTTTTGATTAATTTAACAACGATGATTCGTTTATGGATTCATTTTGTAATTTATTTGTAAAAAATTTTTGGTCAAAATTATATAATTAATAGGAGAAAACTACTAATTATGTTAAAGTAACTAATTGAAGTAGTAAAGTTTACAAATTAATTTAATAAATTTTATTAATTGGAATAGTAGGTATATATATATATAATTTATTAATTGTGACGCGCTCTGAAGAAATGGACCTTAGAAGCAAACGAATTATAGGTTATATTTTCGGTAATTTTACCTTCACTAAAAGTTTCTTTTTAGTTTTGTAAAATTAAAATCAGTTTTTATTAAATATTTTAAATGTAATGAAGACTTAAATACCAATTATTTCTATTGATCCTCTTTGTGTATTTACAGTTAAAAATTTCAAAACATAACCTATATTTTTTTGCTTCTAAGGTTCCTTTTTTTACAGCGTGTCACAATTATCTTTGTAAAATTTACTAATTAATATAGTAAACTTCAGTAATTAGTTTAGTAAAGTTTACTAATTAATAAAAGTAAAGTTTACTAATTATTATAGTAAAGTTTACTAACTAATATAGCAAAGTTTATTAATTGATAAAGTTTACTAATTGAATTATAAATCTTACGAAATGAGTTAGTAGCCTTATTATTTATTTAGTAATGTTTACTAATCAAAATCGTAGATTTATTAATTCATATAAAAAAAAATATACTAATTAATATAGTAGTCTTACTCATCAGTTTAGTAAAATTTACTACTTAAAATAGTATTCGTACCAGTCAATTAAGTAAAGTTTACTAATAAATTTACTAAATGTTATTAATTGAAATATTACATTTAAGTAAAATTTAACTAATTAATATAGTAAATTTATTTAATTAATATGGTAATGTTTACTAATTAATAAATTTATTAAAAATAAAAAAAAACTAATTAATAGTAAACTCACTAATTACACAGCCACACAAAAAAAAAAAAGTACCCGGGCCGGGAAATGAGACCATCATTTCTTGATGTATTTTGATGCGCTGAACACGAATCTGAAGTCCGTTTAGCTCCATCACGTCAGGATTTTGACATAACCTCAAAAAACATAGCTGATTTTATATGACAGGAGAAATTTTTTAAATAATGGCAGATTTGCTTGAATCTTGTTACTCGGGGGTTTTTGGGGTCGCTGATTACGAATTTAACGTCAGATTTAATAAATTCAAAATGGCGGATCCAATATGGCGGACGAATTTTTAAAAAGTAGTTGGATTTTTACGAAAATTGGTATCTAGGGGTTTTGGGAGTCGCTGATTACAAATTTATCGTCAGATTATTCAAATTCAAAATGGCGGATCCAATATGGCGGACAAATTTTTAAAAAGTAGTTGGATTTTTACAAAAATTGGTATCATGGGGTTTTTTGGAGTCGCTGATTACGAATTTAACGTCAGATTATTCAAATGTAAAATGGCAGATATATTACGGTGGTCAAATATCTTTATGTTTCTACATGTGTCTGCATCCAGGGTACCTCCACGCGGTGACGGTGGACAACGCAGTTTGTCCGCTATCCGGCTAAGTCCCTGGATAATGGCTTTGATGCCGTCATGGCAGACACACGTAGGAAACGTATTACGATTCAGGGACTCGGAACCCCAGTATCGGCCAAGTTACATAAAAATTCAACTATTTTTTAAAAACTCGTCCGCCATATTGGATCCGCCATTTTGAATTTGAATAATCTGACGATAAATTTGTAATCAGCGACTCCCAAAACCCCTAGATACCAATTTTCGTAAAAATCCAACTACTTTTTAAAAATTCGTCCGCCATATTGAATCCGCCATTTTGAATTTTATAAATCTGACGTTAAATTCGTAATCAGCGACCCCAAAAACCCCCGAGTAACAAGATTCAAACAAATCTGCCATTATTTAAAAAATTTCTCCTGTCATTTAAAATCAGCTATGTTTTTTGAGGTTATGTCAAAATCCTGACGTGATGGAGCTAAACGGACTTCAGATTCGTGTTCAGCGCATCAAAATACATCAAGAAATGGTGGTCTCATTCCCCGGCCCGGATACTTTTTTTTTTTTGTGTGGCTGTGTTATTAACAAACTACGAATTAATGTAGTACATTAACTAATTAAAATAGTTAATTTTACTAATTAAAATAGTAGTCTCACTATTCAATTTAGTAATGTTTACTAATTTATGTGGTAGTCTTTCTACACAATTTACTAAAGTTTAGTAATTAACCTAGTATCGTTATTAATTATTTCAGTATACTTACTCTCTAAATGTGAATTAGTAAAAATGTTTACTAATTTGAATTAGTGACTCACTTTTTGCTTCTGAATTAGTAAAATTTTACTAATTATTAGTAACTTTTACTAACAAATAATAATTAGTAAAATTTTACTAATTGTTACTAAAAGTTACTAATAATTAGTAAAATTAATTAATTAATTAGTAAAATATAACAAATAATAATTAGTAAAATATAACAAATAATAATTAGTAAAATTTTACTAATTGTTAGTAAAAGTTACTAATAATTAGTAAAATTTTACTAATTGTTAGTAAAAGTTACTAATAATTAGTAAAATTTTACTAATTCAGAAGCAAAAAGTGAGTCACTAATTCAAATTAGTAAACATTTTTACTAATTCACATTTAAAGAGTACTAAAAAATTTAATATCATTACTAATTAATTTAGTAATATTTACAATTTAATTTATTAGTTTTACTAAATGTATAAATAATTTTCTACTATACCAGTTAGTAATTTTTGACCAAAAATCTTACAACTATCTACTTCGTTTAAATGACAAAAATAATTTACTTTGACCATGAAAACATTTGGTTGATAATTTTTGCAAACTGAATCTTTTTTATTAGCCTTTACAAAATTTTTGATAATTTCAACTAAAATTTTTATTAATGCAATCAAAATTTTGTTTCATCAGAACTGAAATTAAATAATTAGTTTTTTTCTAATTCTAGTAAAGGCAACCAAAATTTTACTAATCTTACCAAAGTTTTTTTATGCGAATCAAAAAAAAAAATTAGTTTGTACTCTTATGGACTAAATATTTCTCATCGTATCATTTTTTTTTATATTTTTACCAATATTTGTTTATATTTTTCTTCTTTATTTGTTTCCACCATTCTTTGTTTTTTATTTTCAATTTGAAATTTACAAAAAAAAGTTATCTTTACTATTTTGTTTATTTTTTTTTAAATCTATTTTCGTTTTTTCTTCTCTCTTAATTTTTCTCTTCTCTTTTTTATTTTTCTTCTCTCTTTTTATTTTTTTCTCTTCTTTTTTTAATTTTTTTTTCTATTTTTTCTTTTTTTTCTCTTCTTCTTCTACTTCTTCTTCTTCTTCTTTTCTCTTCGACAATTTTGTTGATGCCTTCGAGAACGATACAAATCCTTGGGTTTGGATACCTGCTTCAATTCATCAGCTATATTATATATATATATATATATAGTATTATATAAGATCTAGTTTGCTTGTCTGCTCGTCTATCATCCATCAAAAACCCTAAGGTCTGTCTCGTTCTCTGATGCAGGCTCGTGTTTTCTCTTTCTCTCTCATATATAAATATATCTACCCTCTCTTTCTAACCTACTTCTCCTTTCTCATCATCCTTGCCTGAAACTTAATTAGTTTTCTCACCCGGGGGACATTTCCCTTGAGATGACTCGAGAGCCATCGATGAAATTGCCTTCTGATATCCTTTGCAATTCGTTCTTAGATTCCCTTGGTTTCCTTTCTCACTCTTGCGCGCCAAGCAAAAGCAAAGAGGAAACTTGAGATCCTGGAATCTGCGCAAAATGATTCTTGATTTGATGATATTAAAAAAAGCAAATAAAAGCATTCTCTAACTCTTTGTTAAACAATTTTCATATTTTTTTATTGCAAAAAAAAAAGTTTTTTCTAGAGAAAGAAATTTTTAATTTAATTTTTCAATTTATTAAATTAAAAAATTATTCATATTGTATTCAAAATTGTTTTTTATATTTAATGAATATATTTTATTTATATAAAAAAAAAATTGTAAAAATGTTTACAAATTATTCAAAAAAAAAAAATTAATTTTGACTAAAATTGAAATTGAATCAAAGAACAAATTGCAAATAAAATCAAAAAAAATTATATAAATGTAATTTAATGATTTATAAACTTTTGCAAAAAAAAAAAAAAATAAAGTAATTTTCTCGTACGGATAATATTTTACTTTTCAAGTAAGTCTCAGGCGAGATTAATATTCCTAACCTCCCCTCTACCACTCCAACAATCCTAGTGTTTGCAACTTTTATAAATCTTTGTCTCTACTTCTCTTTTCTTAATTTGTTTCATTCTAACCTATTTCCTGGGTTTTTTGCTTCGAAGAAGCTTTATTATGCTGCTGCGTTGCTTTTTGCCAATCCTCGACGAATCTCAAAGCTTTTCTAGTGACGGCGATTTTTCTTATTCTAATTGTTCGAAAAATCTATTTAAATATTTCTATGTTGAAAAAAAACTGTATTATTTGTACAAATACGTTTATAGTCTCTTCTAATTTTTTGTAATATAAAATTTAGATCGAAAATTGGCTAAACGTTGCGCAGTAGTTACGCCGACGTAATTATACTGATGAACGTTTTACTTTTTTGTATTTTTATACACGAAAATTGTCGTG